GTATTAGTAGGTAGGGTCTTTGGGAGGTGATTAGGTCATGAGGGGTCTACTCTCATGAATGGGATTAGTACCCTTGTTAAAAAAATTACCCCAAAGAGCTATTTTGTCTCTTCCACCATGTGAAGTCACAGTAAGAAAGCGCCATCTCTGAACCAGGAAACAGGCCCACACAAGCCACTGATTTTGCTGGTGCCTTGATCTTGGATTTCCCAGCCTCTAGAACTATGGGGATAGTTCTCATAAACTACATAACTATGAAAAATAAATTTCTGTTGTTTAGAAGCCACCTAGCATATGGTATTTTGTTATAGAAGCCTGAACAGATTAAGACAGGGCACAAAGTCAAACTCATACTGTATGCCTTATCCAATTTTGTTCTAAATTCTTAGACTTTTTCAAAGTCATAAAAATTACAAGTGTGTTGCAAATCTTAATTTCAACAGGCTTTCTTTCTTTCTTTCTCTTTTCTTGACAGAGTCTCGCTCTGTTGCCCAGGTTGGAATGCAATGGCTCAATCTCGGCTCACTACAACCTCGGCCTCCCAGGTTCAAGCGATTCTCCTGCCTCAGCCTCCAGAGTAGCTGGGACTACAGGCATGAGCCACCACATCTGGCTAATTTTTGTATTTTCATTAGAGATGGGGTTTCACCATGTTGGCCAGGATGGTCTCGAACTCCTGACTTCAAATGATCCACCTGCCTCGGCCTCCCAAAGTGTTGGGATTACAGGCATGAGCCACCGTGCCTGACCTCAATAGATTTTCTTTAAAAACATCAGTGTCTTAGTTTACAGAATGAATCATTAAAATTTGAGATGTCTGCATATTTTCTATAATAAACCATATTTTTGTTTATGCCACTCAGAAATGTATATATATTTATATATATTTATATAAATGTATATAAATAGATGAGAAAATAATGCTAGCCTTAAAGAGTTGTGTTGACCACATTTCAAACGTGGCATTTCCTAAGAGCCCAGGAGACATGAAGCACTGCGGGTGATCAGTCCCCACATTGTAGCACTTTGTATTCCCAAACAGAACTACAAAGTATGAGTTCAGAATAACTCTCCCTAAGCCTTTGCTCACATGTTTGATTTACTACTATTTTAATGTTCCACTTAAAACTTCAAACATCATGCCTACAAAATGCTGACCAAAATGGACAAAATGTGTACAAAAAAGATCAACATCTCACGGTTGTTGGTACTAAATCACTGACTAATGTTTAGCTTGGGATATGCTCAAAACCTTTGATTTTTGTAACCTTTTAATCGACTATCTTGATATCATATGATGTGTTTTCTTCCTTCAGTATAACTGCACATCTCCTTTTCAAGATTTTTATAGTTTTGTATCACCCTGTTAGTCTTTTTGAGTCCAAATATTCACTAATATAATTAACAGTTCATTCAGAAAACACTAAAAGACCACCTATTGTATATTGGGCACTGTGCTAGCTTCTAAGGAGACCAAGAAAAAGAAGATCTTTACTTTAAAGGAGCTAGAAATGTAAAGGTAAAGTTAATAGATAACTTCGATATAGTGTTGTTAGTATTTGAATATTAAGGTATGACCTAGTGTTAGAAGCTCAGAAGAGGGGCTGGTGTGGTGAAGGATGGCTTCTTGGAGTGACGCTCAGGCAGAATCATTAAGATTCAGTAGGAACTACTCAGGTGTTGGAAGTCATCCCAGGCACACTCAGAAAACTGCAAAAGCAAAAGGTGCCTGGGGGACGGCAGTGGGATTGAGACTAGAGATCTGGGCTTAGCATACCTCTCCAAGGATAAGCTACTTAGTGATGGGTATAAAAATGCAATTATGATCATCTTTAGTGTATCCACCAACTTTCTGATAAAGATGATTTGGCCTCAAACCAATTTTAAAGAACCCAATTTTTCAGGTTGTTATGGCCGTTACTAATTATTTTAAGAATGAGCTTCCAAACACTTATACATCCATAGGGAATATTATGACCTATAAGAATGTATTTTGCTAATGAAACATCATACCTACTTTCTCATAGTAACCACAGAGCCCAGTAAAGCAAAGTCCAGGCATGCTCAATACCATGACCATAGAACTATCAACCTGTGACTAGCCTGAAGTGAATGGAAAGTGCAATGCTACTCTTTAATCACTTAGCGGCAAATGGTGAGAAAGTCAATTTTACCTCTGGCCTATTAGATGAGGGCATTAATACATTAGAATTGATTTTTAGGGAATGGAAAAGTAACTTTAAAAAATAAAGAAAAGAAGGAAGGAATGCCCCACAGAGACTCCTAGATCCTCAGATATTAGATAGATAGAGGACTAACCCATTCCCCTAAGCCCTTTTATCCTATAAATATCAATTCTTCCATTCAAGCTTATAAGTAGTACTTCCTTTGATAATATTTCCCAGGCCAATATCATAGTGTTTAGCAGTTGGGGACCCCCCCCTAAAAAAAAGTATCAGCATAGAGAGCACACTAGTTTGAATGATAGTAGCTAGTTGCAGAGAGAGATAAAGCGTCACAACAGCTTTACACTGAAGTTTTCAAACAACATTTTTAAAAATGAAAGGATAATAATAGCCACAGTAGTCAGATTCTTAGGGAAAACTTAAAAAATGAAGAAATGTGAATTAAGGGATAAGAGATAAATGCTTTCCCTGAAAAACAAATCCTAGTGATGTTTTATCTATTTATTAAAATAAAAATAATAACCTATGTAACAAACCTGTTCATGTACCCCCTAAACCTAAAATAATAGTTGGAAAAAATTAAAATAATAATGAGCCTTTGCAAGCACATACATTAATTTAAAAAATAAGAATATGATTGAAATAGATATACTTTATCAAGGTACAATGTACAATACCACAAGAAAAACATAACATCTTTCAATTAAGTTTATTTTAGCTTAGGAGAAGAAACAATGAACCTATCTTTGAAAGTAAATATTAGATTTATTTTTAAAATATTTTACCTGATTTAAATAATTTAGGCACTTTTCAAGACACCAAAGGCAACAAATGCAAGATTTCAGCACACATCGTGCACAAGCATTTTCCTGGATAGGGGAAAAATTGAAATAATCAAAAAACCAAAGAATCAAACTGTCATATAGAAGACTTCAAACATTAGAAAAATAAATAAAAATTTTAAAATCACAATTTATGCTTCAAAGCCTCCACACTTGTCTACTTCCTCCTTAAAACATAATGACTGAATTATTTTTAATAAGTTAAATTCAATGTTTATTTAGTCTCTATTGCATAAGATACAACGAAGTTTGTAACACCTGCAAGGTACTTACGATCTAGTAGGAGAAAAAAATACTAAATACAAAAAAGTTACAATCAGAATGTAGTATAGATACTAAGTGTTATAAGAGTGGAGAACAAAGAGACAGCATCGTTTGGGAGATGGCAGGAATCAGGAAAGGTTTCTGCAAAGGGGTAGAATTTGAGCTAAACTATGTTGAAATGCATGTTATTCCCACAGTCAAGGATAGGGAAGAAGTTCTAATAAGGAAGATATGTGAGTTAACAGAGAGGAAGAGCAGCACAGGAAACTTTATTAACTAGTGATTGGATGAATTTTGCCAGAGCATACGGAGCGCATGAGTGGGAGACAGGGTAGAAGGGCTAGATTTTGCCTCGTAAAGACTTTGAAGAAAACACAACTTTGTATTTAACATTATTGGGTGCTTTTCTACATGCAGAACTGAGGTCTGGAATGTGCCCACAGAAAGTACAGAAATGCATTTTCCTCTTACCTTTCCTTTGAGCTGACTGTGAATATACATAAGGATCATTCGCGGAATTTTGACTAATGTGATAATAAAAGATCCTTTTGCCACCGTACCAAGGTGGTAACGAATAAGGCGATTTACTGATGCCAAAATAGGTGTAAATGGCAAATTCCTTTTATCCCTATTTAAAAAATGAACAAAGACAATTAAAACAAAGCCTAGATCAGGATGGAAACACAGGTATGGTTTAGAGTTCAATGCAGTGAAAAAAAAAAAAAAAAATCAGCTCATCATTCTTATTTTGTCTTATGACAAAATGGCCAAGTGATATATAACTATTACAAATGCTACACACATGCTATATAAAATTAATGTCATTGCTCTATGGTTTCATGGGGTTCTGATGCTCTAATACTTCAAGTTAAATAAAACTATGCTCCGAAAGCTTTTATTAGTGAATACTTATGGGGTTAACCACATAATCAGAAAACAGAATTTAAAAAGATGTTCAATTTAGACTTGGCATATAATTATAATAGAAAACTATGAGGCCTAAAGCTTTCATATTTGGCAGTAAAGTTAGCAAAGGGAACTCACACTTCTTCCGGTCTAAACAAACTAAAAAGACTTGTCCTTTGATGGACTTTTATACAAAGCAGAAGTACGTATGGCACCACTATAAGATTTATTCTTCTGCCAAATACAATTTGTGACATCACGATAAATTTTTTGAGACAATTGCAGAAAAGTATAAAGAATAAAACAACAATCTCTCATTTGACCACCTCCCAGAATTATCAACTATATATAACACTCTATCATACTCATTTCTAATTATTTTGTTAAAGAAATGAAACTCCTACCAGCCCCAGTCTGATTCCCTTCCCCTCCAGCCTGTGGACACCGTCCCTTAGATGAACTTGAGTTTTCTAATAACAACAAATTCTCACCTAGTAAAATAGTATGTTACCACAGCTCCTGCCACTGTCATCTGCTGACACGCCAGAATAAATTCACTGATCCAAATCAGGCCCACCACATGGTACCACCACATGTACTGCAGAGGCCCGGAAATTTTGAACTCCACAAAGCCTTGCTCATTCTGAACAGGACTGCCTAGGAAAATATCAAGGGAGGAAAGAAGCAGCACATAAAGTACAAATCCAGAAATACGGCAATTAAATAGAAGGCAGTAGGGCCCCCCTACCCCAAGCCACAAACCTTCTGATCCGTGTGCTATTTCATAAAGGGACAAAAACAACTATCACTTGAAAAGTTGTGAAATTAAGAATTGTACTATTACGCATTTTGATGCCCTCAGAGGCATCATATAAAGCTTTTAAAAGTTGTTCTATTTGATAAAATTCTTCTTATATTATCAATTATTTAGTTTAACCATGAATTTTCAAACACTTCAGTTTTTTTCAAGACCTATTATTTATCCAATCATTATAGATTTCTTAGCAAAGTACAGAAATTATTATTATATTCAATTGCTAAGTGTGTGTGCTGAATGGACAGATAAGTTACATAGTTACATACAAGTTTACTATCCTTATGATACTTCCATTTAAGTTTAACCTTTGATATTCGGTATGGCTGTAAGAAAGTCTGAGTGTCTAACTATTAACTATATCCTCACTTGGAGCTCTAGTTAGGGTCAGATCATTTCCAAACTAGAAACTCTCAAGGAAGTAAGTATATCCTTGGCTATACTTGGGATTTGAGGTAACTCCTGAGTGACACTGCATTCATTGGTTCATCTTAGAAGGAATCTAAATGTCTGAGTCAGTACCAGAACTTACTTCAAATTCATGATCATTTCAGAATTAGAATGCAATTTCAGGCCTTCCCTGATCTAGACTTACATGGCTAGGATGTTCTAAAAAATCACGAATATGGGCTGGGCGCGCTACCTCACGCTTGTAATCCCAGCACTTCGGGAGGCTGAGGTGGACGGATCACATGAGACCAGGAGTTCAAGAGCAGCCTGGGCAACATGGAGAAACCCTGTCTCTACTAAAGATACAAAAATTAGTCAGGCGTGGTGGTGCATACCTGTAGTGCCAGCTGCTCGGGAGGCTAAGGCAGGAAAATCCTTTTAAACCTGCGAGGCAGAGGTTGCAGTGAGCTGAGATTGCACCACTGCACTCCAGCTTGGGCGACAGAGAGACACTCTGTCTCCAAAAAAAAAAAAAAAAAAAAAAAGGCCAGGAGCAGTGGCTCACGCCTGTAATCCCAACACTTTGGGAGGCTGAGGCAGGTGGATCATGAAGTCAGGAGTTCAAGACCAGCCTGGCCAATATGGTAAAACCCCGTCTCTACTAAAAATACAAAAATTAGCCGGGCATGGTGGCACGTGCCTGTAGTCCTAGCTACTAAGGAGGCCAAGGCAGAAGAATCGCTTGAACCTGGGAGGTGGAGGTTGCAGTGAGCCACGAGAGCGCCACTGCACTCCAGCCTGGGTGACAGAGCAAGACTGTCTAAAAAAAAAAAAGACGAATATGGAGTAGGTTGTTGAAGAGCCATAACCACTACAAGTTCTGATGGCTATTGGACCGTCACCAACAAATGTCTGAAGAATCACCTCTCTCTGATGTTCTAAAATACTGGAATGCAAATCACGTTTGTCACTCAGAGAAAGAAGCATATCTTCTTACCGGTAGTGCCAAGAAAAAGAAGTGTCATGATCCAGTACGCCCAAAACAAGACAAGAGCAAAGAAAGTCCAGAATGGTTGGAAGACTAGCAGTGGCAAGTGAATGAAGACCTTGCCAGCTACGTGGAACAAGGCGATGGTAAGAGCAACACGTTTGCGCATAACCAACATTATCAGGAATAAGATCACCTGTATGGAGAGAATGGTTTCAGTTATTATAAGTAGTGAAAACAGAAACCGAAAATAGTGGAAATTTTTAACATAACCCTTTACCCCCAAACCTGGAGGTAGCATTCTTTGAATTTCAATAATATTTTAGCAGTAAGTATCTCTCTTGCAATATTTATTGTCAATTGTATATTACGGTTACCAAGTGTCCTTTAAAGCAAAATATAAAGGATTTATCAACTTATTAATACATCCTAGAATTTTTTCCTTTTCCCTTTGCCACTCATTATGAATCAAAACATATTGTCAGTCAGGATGAGACTCTTTATTTAAACAGATACACCACAAAAATGAGGTTTTTATTTCTATCTTCCTTATTAGACCAACAGCTCCTTAAAAGTGGGATCTGTGTCAGATTCACCCCTTGCTTCCTCCCACCCCCACATCCCATCTCCAGCAGCTGGCACAGCAAATTGTACCTAAAATGAGATTTCATTCATATTTTGTTGTAATATCTGTATAACAATAACTAACAAATATCTTTTGGCATCAATGGTTTTATGGTGGCTTTATTTTTTGTTTCTGATGCTCAATAAAAAGCTTGGGATTGCTCTTAGAAGTAATGATTTTTTTTTCTTTTTTCAGAGAGAAGATAATGATGAACCAAAGATATACATATAAATTATTTAACCACATGTTAATTGGTAATTTTATTGCTTAATACCTAAGCAGCAAATCTCACACACACACACACACATACACACACACACACACAAAAATACACATATATATTTTGGAGATAAGTTCGCACTCTGTTGCCCAGGCTGTAATGCAGTGACACAATCATGGCTCAAGTGACCCTCCCACCTCTGCCTCCCAAGTAGCTGGGACCACAGGTGCACACCACCATGCTCAGCTGATTTTAATTTTTTATGGAGACAGGGTCTCACTATCTTGCCCAGGTTGGTCTACAACTCGTGGGCTCAAGTGATCCTCCCACTCCAGTCTCCCAAAGTGCTAGCATTATAGGCATAAGCCACTGTACCTGACCAGACGTATATTTCTGAAATAACGCCATATTGTTAAATGAAAAGTTTGAAAGACAAATGGGAAGATAATTAGTGAACAAGTAAATGGAATGATATATTTTTTAACATACTTTTCTGCAGTAAAGGGAATCATTTTTAAAAAGTAATTATCTTATGACAGTAAGAAATATGTTCTTGTAAGCAAATGGTAATGTAAATATTCTAGGTGAAAATCTTCTCTCAAAAAGCAGTCAGGGTAGAAAAAATGTTTCATCAAATAGCACTCATCCCTGAGGGAATCCTTCAGGAGATTTTTTAGTGTTTCATACACTATGGGACAGAGACATTATCTACTGGAGATCAGGGTCAGGAATGCAAAAGCTAGATTTGAGTTTCTGCTCCATTAATGATCTCCTGCAAATAAAACACAAAACCAAAAGACAAGCCAAAGCCTAAACTCACTGTGAACACTGTAGCTGAAATGGCATAAATGAGGAGGGCCCGAAGGTTGTCTTCAGCTATCTGAAGCTGCTCGGGAGTAATAGTTTCTTTGGGAGACCTTCTTTGCTTTGCATATAGCCACCATAGTACACCTGTGCCTCCTGGAGACAAAAGACCCAATTTTTAATGCAGTAATTAGCATAAGAAAATGTGTAACATAAATTCTCAATTTTCTTGACCCTTCCTACTGATCATCATGGGACTAATGCAGTGACAATCCATTTGGCTGGGAAGTACGTAGCGATAACTTTTTGCCAGCATAAAGAAAGTGTCCATTACTCTATTATCATCCTCCATATTAAGCACTTATAAATCCTTCAGTGTATCAAATAAGCTTCCTTCAAATTTATTTATTATTGACTATGAAGCTAAGAGCGAACCAGTAGAAGCATACACCCCTGAGAGGAACTGATCACAAAGAAAGAGCCTCAGCATTTAAGCTGAGGAGGCTGAAGGAAGGAAATAAGCATCACAGAAAACATCAATGAAGCTTGAAGAGGGCAAGGATCTTCTCTGTTGTACTCATCACAGATACCTCTGTGTCTTGCACTGACACAGTAATGCAGTTGATTAAATATTTGTACAACGAATACATGCAAATCAAAAGAACAGTTCCCTCCAAAGGGAGGAACAAAGAGGAAACCTCTGATAGTGGTGGGTGCTAGGGATGAGCATTTTTTAATCTCCAACACTGGTTGAGAGATTCAAAGAACAAGACTGAAGACGGAGACAAACCTACCTCCACATATGAGAGCTGACTTACATACCTACCTTCAACCCATTCAGCAAACATTTTGAATGCTACAGCACCTATTGTTCTAGCTAGAGATAGAGCAGTAAACAAGGCTGAGTCCTCACTCTTGCTGCTCATGGAACTTATGTAATAGTAGGGGGGGAAAAATAAGAAAACAAGGAAAAATACAATATATTAAGTCTAAAGAAAAAATGATCTCCTGGTAAGAAGGATATAGAGTGTTTGGGTAGGGAAAGCTTTGCTATTTTATATATCATGGGTAAGCAAGGCCTCACTGGTATTAGTAAGATGATAACTGAGCAACGGAATCAAAGACAGAGAGCAATCTATGACACTATCTAAGGAAAGAGTGTTCTAGGCAAAGTTCAAAGAGGCTGAGGTAGAATCATCCTTAGTATGAGAGAAAGAAGACCATTGTGGCTACTGCAATGAACAATGCAGAAAGTGGTAGAGATGTGGGCAGACAGGTAGCTGGGGACCAGACCATACTGTAAGGCCTTGTAGGTCACAGTAAAAAAATGGATAATTCAGAGTAGAGAGATGTGTGTGTGTGTGGCTGATACGATAAATGTCTGGGAGATAAAAAACTGAAGTAAAGTCGAGGTACATCAACATCTGCACTCAAGAGTGAACGAGGTCAAAGACAAATTCCATTGCCTATTTGTTGGCAAACACCAAGTAAGTACAAATTTTCCATCTGTTGAAGAGGAGGAAACAAATCAAAACTACCAGAAATTGGTGAAAAACATTTGAGAGCAAGGGGAATGTTTCCATTTTGAAGTCTTGCAGGTACAAGAAAATTGTTCGGAAAAATGTTTAATATATTCAGAAAATGGAAGAAGAAAATATGTTTCCTAGAAACAGAAATGAATTATAGGAGAAAAGCTGAAGTTAAAAAAATAGAATGAAATTGAAATAATGATGTCAAGGAGGAAGCTATTCACAATAGCCATGGTAGACAGTATTTATTATTAAACTTTTAATTTGTGTTAGGAACTGTGCTATGTCCTTTATAGATGTGATCTAATTTAATCATCACAACACTATTAATATCTAGAGCTTTAAAGTTTCGTCTAATTCTGAATCATAATTAAATTTGCCTATGATCTTTTGGGGGAATCTTTTTAATTCTGAAATTTTTTATTTGTGTATTTGATTATTGTTTCTGTTCCATTTTTTTTTTTCTCCTGAGGTCACGGTTTATTCTTCTGCTATCATCTTCTAACTTACCATTTTACTTTTTTGGTAATTTTCCTTTACATTCAGGAAAACCTCTTCAAATTTATTTCCAAATAACTGATTTAGTTTTCCTTACTAGCAGTTCTGTACTACTTTATAGAAGAAGGACAAGTAGTTCCTACTAAAACTAGTCCAGGAAAATGTAAATGTAAATATAATCATAAAACTTTTTAAGGCAAAGATAAACAAGATTTTTAAAAAGATACAGCAGTTGAAAATAATATTTTAACTTTAATTATAACCCTAGTACAAAAGCTCAGACTAGGGCAAAAAGTGGGAGGGAGCAGAAGAGAGTAGGGGATGAAAGGAAGCAAAGTTTATGCTAAATTTAAGGGAGGTAGGGGAGAACTCAACATATATCATCTTATTTCTGACTTTAATAATCACAGTAGTCTAAAGAATTTCAGGAAAGACAGAACAGATGAGAACAGTAAGACCAAACATACCAGTGAAGATTATAAATGTAATGAGAAAAAATTCCATTACTAAAAGGTTTCATATTCAGCTGGTAAAATTTAACTATATATTTTCATATACATATGCATAGAAAAAAAGTCTGGACTTCAAATGCCAACAGTGATGAAATGAGGGGAGGGGCAAATAGAATTATGAGAAATTTTAAGGCAAAAATTAACTGTCTTCCTTGAAGATATAGCATGTGAAAATAAAATTTATTTTCTTCTTTATATTTCTATTTTCTACTAAAGTAGTTAAGTACCATGAAAACAAAGAAATAAATAGCTTACCAAGTGAACCGAGTATGACCAGAATTGTTAAGATCCACACAAGTACTCTTGATATATACCTGATTATCACCATCAAAATCATGGATAGAACTGCAGGGAAGATAAATAGAGAACATATAGAATATTATTTGAAAACACAGGTAAATATAAAGAAAACCTTTTCGACGGTTGCTTTTTTCCCCAGGGAAATAATCTGTTGCTATTGACCACAATTTAGATAAGGAAGGAAACTGGCTGCTGTTGTATTTGACTTTGCTACTTGTACCACTTAAATAGCGTCACTCGAAACCAAAGTCACCTAACTGTGGGTTTATAAACTACAGAAAAAAATACATGCAAATGCACATGGTGACTCAAAAACAGCACAGGACTGTTGTGGATTCACCACGGGGAAGACATCAGACATGCAAACATACATGCCAGCACACAAAGTGTAGAGAATGACATGTCATGTTGGTGACAAGAAAAATTACTACACATAGACAGAGATCAGTTAAATTAGGCGCTACCCTTTATTGAGTAATCTATGTATTTCAGGACCAACTTAACTTCTCTGACAGTCAGTCCAGAAGCTAAATGGCATCTTATCCTTTTCTGGCTGTTTCTCCTCTAGAACTCCAAAGGATGGTCTGACCCTGTGGAGTAACATCTTGAAGCCTACTATGGCCGAACTTCCTCTGTCTAATTTCTCAGCTGAGGTCGGGGGTCCCAGGTAAGGAGACCTTCCTCAAAAAGGAGCAAAGCTGTTTGAGTTATACAGCCAATTATTCTACCTGCCCCAAGCTAAATCCCATGTGCTATAATACTGAGTAAAAATCTTAAAGAAGAAAGGAAAGATTTAACCATTGCATGGGAATTACATTTCTGAAATAATAATTTATAAATTTCTTAATTATCTAAAGGCCCATTCCACAAAAAATGAACAAAGATTTTTTAAGTTTATATTACATACTTAAGCCTCAAAAGAGAATCATTCTAATAAAAAATAGAATTCTGACGGCTTAACATTATTGGCACTATTTTTAATTGGATTTTTAGTTTTTTGGTTAAAGTATTCAACTATTTCAAAAACCAAATAATTTTGATATAAAGCTAGACTAAGAGTCAAGTTTCTTTGGGCCACTTGCAAAGCCAAATAAATGGTTGGGATTCATGTCTAGGTAACATTATTGAGGTACTCACTTTTGCAATAAATGTACAGGAACCAAAAACAGATGGGAGCCTTTCAAATATCACAGAAATAGATTTTCATATGGACAGCATTATTTCAATTGAGTCAAGTACTACCTAAGCAAAAAGAAAATACTCTCTAATGACAGGAAAGACGGAAATACAGCTTGTATCTTCTCAATGGCTATAACTGTTAACAGGCATAAATACTAAGTTTACTTATATAATGAAATAGCTGTTGGTTCCTACCATAGTTTACTTCTCCCAACTAAGAAGGCTTATACATTCTGATAAGGTACACATAGTTCTAGAATAATACAGGGAGTGTTAATCTTGAAAATAAAATTTTTATTTGATTTATTATCTATTTATGGACTAGAAAACTCAGTGGCTAATAGGTGGAGATTTCCTAATTTTTCCAGCAATACATTGATGCTATGCACTGTAGCAATGAAAAGGAAATTACATACTTCAAAACTAATCTATCAGAAATCTATATTCTTAGATGGGAATATATAAGAGAATATGTCGCCTCCTGTATAAGTAAATATACCTTTTAGGAATCATAACTAAAAACAGAGGGTAGTTGATTCATTAAAAGAAGCCTCCTGCTATCATATTAAAGTAGCTGTGGACTAAGTAACCAATGTTTGGGAAAACACTAGTTTTCTCCCATGAAAGAAAAAAAGGGAATGAGTTTCAGATATATATACATACTTATATGTACATATTCTTAACTATATATAATCTGAAACAATGATTTTGGCTATGGGAAGTTAAACATTTTACAAGTATCCCCAGTTGTATTCATATTTTGGCTAAAAGACAAAACAGTCTTCTTCTCCAATACTATGCAATAGCTAATAATGAGAAAAACAATTACCTAGTGATAACAAGCAAAGTCCCAATATAATTTCTTTGCTGGTCATTACTCCACTAATCAGCCTGTGTAAGACACTATTGTCACTGACAAAGGTGATCAGGGCCTCTGCAAACTTGGCATAGCAGGAAATGTTCACAGGAGCACAGCGATGGAAGAATGGAATAGGTGCACTGGTGACACAAGAAAAAAAAATCAGAAAAAAAATTACTCCTACTTAATATAAATGCCACATCAAACACACAAATGAAAGGTGAATATGGCTGCAATACACTCCACCCTCCACGCATCATTATGGGAGCTAAGAGCTGTGTGCTTAATGCTATGAGGATGACTGTCATGGGTAGTGATGCAAATCTTACCACAAGCCTTATCAAAGAGGGTGGAGTGCATGTTCCAACAGAAGACATTACCCTCCCCTTCTGAAAAGAAACACACACACACACATACACACAGAACTACCAAAAGCAAAACCAAACACTTAAAACTCCTTAGCCTGCACATCTACCAGTCACGGGGCAGATGACAAAGCTTACAAACACATACTTTATTGAACTGAAAATGAATTTTTGCCATAAGCGATTTGAAAATAAAAAGCACATGCTTTTACTTGAAATGTGCCACCATTAATAGAATGTTTCCTCTAACAAAACAGCATACAAAATCTCAGATTAATAAAGGTGTTTACAGCATAAGCTTAATACCTCTCATATAAACAAAGTCATGCTGAGACATCAACAAACAGCATAATAGGCAGCTATTTAAAACAGTAACCATGAGTAGTAATATATAGAAATGCTTATAATGTAATAATAGAAGGGGAAAAAGTATATCTAATGTGATATCTCTGCATAAAAGATTACACATAATCATGAGAACAGAAAATAATTAAAAAGTGAGAAATAGTGGACTTGTTAGGATCACATAATTCTGGGCTATTTTCTTTTCATCAGTCACTATTAATCTAAGGTTATCTGTGTCTAAAAAGATGTAAAATAACCAATTACTTAGTCATTTATATTAGGCTTATATGGACTGAAGCTTTTACTTGCGAAAGACTACAGCTATGTGTAAACTGTGACATTAATCTGGTTTGTTACAACATGGTTCTACTTCTGAGAGGATACTATACACTATCTTCAACTTCTGAGAGGATAGTATACACTAATCAATGAGAGATTTTAAACACAGAACTATGAATATGCCTTTGGTTGTGATTTACTCGAATTCTAAGACAGCCATATGTATGTCCATGCATAAAGACACACTTACATGTGCCTTATGTTAAAATTTAGCCATGGTTAACATGAATCCCACATTTCCAGAATTGTTCTTGTAACTTTTTTTTGTTTCGTTTTTGTTTTTTTGCATCTCCCATTTTCCTCTTTTTTTTTTTTTTTTTTTGGAGACGGAGTCTTGCTCTGTCGCCCAGGCTGGAGTGCAGTGGCCAGATCTCAGCTCACTGCAACCTCCGCTTCCCGGGTTCACGCCATTCTCCTGCCTCAGCCTCCCGAGTAGCTGGGACTACAGGCGCCCGCCACCTCGCCCAGCTAGTTTTTTGTAATTTTTAGTAGAGACGGGGTTTCACTGTGTTAGCCAGGATGGTCTCGATCTCCTGACCTCGTGATCCGCCCGTCTCGGCCTCCCAAAGTGCTGGGATTACAGGCTTGAGCCACCGCGCCCGGCCCCTTGTAACTTTTTTTAAAATGGTATCCATGAAAATATGTTCATAGAACTTTAAGTTACAGCTACAACTACGTTTTTGACTGGAACGATACAAATGTGTTCTCATTCTTGGTTGGCACTGTATTTTGGTCCAATGAGTGGATAAAATTACATGGTTGGGCACTACAAGGTTTCTAATCTCAGCAAAGCAACTTTGTATGACCTGAAGCAAAACACTATCCTCATTTCCTTCCTTGAAAAACAATGTTTCTTTTCCAGTAAGAATATAAACACACTATGTATCAGTTTCCTTTAAATGGTAGTAAACGAGCACCATTGGTGGTAAGAATAAGTGACATCTTCCATGCTGTCATATTTGGTGGAACATTAAAATAATATAATTTTAAAGATCTAGCTTTGCCTTAGTCTTGCTTTAGTAAATATATCCAAAATTGATGACATAACAATATGACATGAATATTTGTTTTTAAAAATTGCCTCTTGCATCCCTGTGTATTTGTGTAAACCTCCAAAATGGTATTAGTGAAAGTTAATGCCAAAGGTTTGACATCGTATCAGAAAGCACAGGAAGTCAGAGCATTCTAAGAAATGCTTGAATTATAGGTATTCAAATCATTGTTTTTTTAACCAAAAAGTGCTTCACAAATGATGCAAAAAGATATTAAATTATAGAATACCTTTAAGTGAAGTAGATTTAGTTAAAAATATTATGAGACTCAAAAAAGATTAACTGTAAATTTCTAAGTCAATAGAAGCTGATTTGTTACAGAAACCTTTAAACTGACAACTTTGCCATGATGAAACTTCTTTTCTGATGTTGTCTAGATGCTATCTCTGCAAGTTAATGTCTCTGCCTAAGGACTCTTCTAACCATATTTTTAAACTAAAGCCTGGTTCTCTATCCTTCAAAACTAAAATCCTCTCTGTTTCATGATTATCTGTAACTCCATCCTCTTTATTTATTACCCCATCATCTGTGATTTAGTGTCTATTTAATTCATTTGCCTCCAACCTTGAACATAAAATATATTCACTTAAGGATACTGATGTCTTTTTCTTGTTTTCAGTACCCACTATTTTTCTCAGCCCTGCTTTCCTGTTTTCTTTTTCCTGCCAGGTAACTATAAAAACCCCAATTCTTCTAATCTTGCACCCTGCCTGTAACTCCATCTCTCTCTCTTACTTTCTCCATTGGTTAGCTGAAAGAGTAGGAGTAAGTACTCTGCAAGTCTCTTCAGATCATCATCATCATCCAAGCGGGCACCCATAAATCGATGACACAAAATTATATAGGAACAGGATGCCCAATATGTTCAGTGTTGTTGTTGTTGTTGTTTTCAAATTTAGGATGAGAATAGATGATTTTAAAATAGAATGACTATAACTCTCAAAATGAAAATACTTCATTTTTATTTAGGAGGAAATGCTGGGTAATATCTGCTCTGAACTTACCCTTTCAAACATTTTTACACACTGTTTATTAACAGTTGGCCAATTGGAAAGAGTACTTTTATAAGTATCCTTCAAAGAACTGGAGTAAAATAACAGCAGCCCTTTACACCAAAATTCAGTCTATGTCAGTTAAAAAAATAAATAAATAAAATAAAATAAAACAACCTGATGCTCTAAATTTAAAGGTATAAAATTAGCACACGCTGATTAACTACATTGTCTAGCTGATAGTCAAAATCTGTTCCTAGTGGTAATGAAAAACAAAAATAGAAGGCAAACATAAGAAGAAATAATATATAGGGACATTATTCAAAAATAAGATGAAATACTTAGCTTTAAAGTAAAAAGCACTAGATTCTCTTGTTTGAAATCTAAACAAACTAGATTTCCTTACTTGTCATTCTTTTTCTCAACTTTTCCCCAAACAAAAACAACTCTGCCGGCCACAGGGTTTTGATACTTGAATTGTTTCCTTATTTAAAAAAAAAAAAGTAATAATTGTGTCATTGAAATGGTTTGTTTTATATGTTAGCATTGAAATCCCATGTGATTTAATGATTTTAGGTGGAGTTGAATACACCAATTTCATATACCTCTGAGAAAATAATACTTTTGAGGAGCTAGTATTATGAGATCATTTCTACTTTAGTATCTTATGTAAATGACACATTTTGTGCTTCTTAATTAAAAGGACAAGCCTAAAGTATTCTATATACAGTAAGTTTTTCTACATTCCAAAGCCCACCAAATATTGAATCTTTACTAAGTCGATGTAGTCACATTAGGAAGTGATGCTGTTTCACTTGCTGAAGCAGTCAAGAACAAAATGAATTTATAATGAGTCTTTTAAAGTTTTTACATTAGTCCCTCATATGAAAATTATATCTTACCTTGGCAAACATACTGTCCATTTCCCTTTCAGTTCAGATCATCACAGTTAATAAGCTCCCTAAAGTATGATGACTAACAATGCCTAATACCACTTGTCCATTTGCCTTCACAAGAAGGCAGAGGTCTGCATCTCATATAATTACTTTAGAACCTCAGGTTATAAAGAAACAATTACACATGATTTCTAGCCAAAGTTTTATTTAAGTAAGTATAACAATGAAGTATTCTGGCAATATCTCTACAGTACACTAAAGGCAGGAAATATGAGTCTAAACATGGAGTGGTGTTTCTTTTTTCTCTTCTTTCACCCTTTTTAAAACATTTTTATTATTTGTTTATGTATGTATGTATGTATGTATGTATGCATGCATGTATGTTTTATAGAGAGAAAGGGTCTTGCTATGTTGCTCAGGCTGGTTTTGAACTTCCAAGCTCAAGTGATCCTCCCACTTTGGTGTCCCAAAGTGTTGGGATTACAGGCATGAGCCACTGTGCCCGGCCTTCTTTCACTCCTATACTCTTTGTTGTTGTTGAACACTCACTGTGGTATAGATTACAACATCCTGGATTCAAATTCCAATTTGCAACAATTAGTTGTATGGCTTTAGATAACCTCTCTCATCTTATTTTTCCTCACCTACAAACTGGGGGCAATATCTTGATAGGTTTTTGTGAAGGTTAAATGAGATAATATATATGAGAGATACTGTGGGATAGCTGGCAAGTAGTAGATGATTTGTAAATGTTAATTTATCCTTGAATCCTCCATTGAAAAATATGAACAGATAACATTTTTTTCTTGGCTATTAATTTCTTTCTTTTTTCTTTTTTTTTTTTTTTTGAGACAGGGTCTTGCTCTATTGCCCAGGCTGGAGTGCAATGGCACAATCTTGCCTCCCTACAATTCCACCTCCCAGGTTCAAGCGATTCTCATGTCTCAGCCTTCTGAGTAGCTGGGATTACAGGCATGCAACACCACGCCCAGCTAATTTCTGTGTTTTTGGTAGAGACGGGGTTCTGCCAAGTTGGCCAGGCTGGTCTTAAACTCCTGACCTCGAGCAATCCACCTACCTCGGCCTCCCAAAGTGCTGGGATTACAGGCATAAGCCACTGTATCTGGTCTTTGGCTATTAATCTGTCATTTATACATTATTGTATCATTAATTCCCCGGCATCTAGTAAACTTTCTGTCATCCAGAGGTGCCCAAACACATGATGAATAAACTGAATTTATGTAATCTGTTTCTACTATTGCTGTTTTCTCCAGCTATTTCTAAAAGCACTGTAAGTATACTGGCTAGCTATTCCCCATACTGCCACCGTGGTTGGCATTTCACCAATAGAGAATTATGAATTTGGATAAAATACAACTCTTTCTAGGCATTTGTTTTTAAAATTCAAAAGCTTTTAGGAATGGTAATCATCTGGTTACTATGTGTCACTAATGCTTCATTGAAAATTAGTTGACAATTGCTTTTCTCTAAAAACAGGTGCTGCTTTTAGCTGTAGAAGGCCCCTGGATACCCAAGAAAGACGGGCCAAAGGAAGAGGTTCTAGAAGTTTAAAGAAACACCTCCTAAGTCAAGTGCCAAGCACAGTAATAGATGTTTAATGAGTATTATCTTGTTTAACTCTTACAATTCCTTGAGGGGAGTATGACTATTCCCGTTTCACTCATGAAGAAACTTGGTTTACAGAGAGGTTAAGAGGCTTGCAAGAGGTGACAAATAGAAAGTAATATGGAATTCACCCCAGACTTATCTCAAAGTTCATGTCCTTCTGTCCCAGTAGGATGCTCCTAGAAGGACACCAAAAGAGATGTGAAGGATGCTGAGGGGTACTTGCCTGTCTCATAGTTTTGCCTGGTGCTGGTCTTTTGCCATTAAAAAAAGTCACCAAAAACATAGTCCCTACTAGACTATGAGTTTAAGGACAGAGACTAGGTCTTACTCACCTTTGGAAACTTGGTATCTAATACAACGATGTGTGGAACGGGGTGATGCCCCAAGTCTTTTTATTAAAACAAATTTATTCTTATTCTCAGATCCTTTCAGTTTGTTTACCTAATACTACACATAGCTCTGGTATTTACAAGATTTGCCTTCTTTCTATCAAATGTTCTTCTCTTTTACTTTCCAGCTGGCTTGGTTCAGACAAAAGTGATAACATACTTAGACTGTGATGTACTAAAATAAGTAAAACATAAGGATTTTTAAACACAGCATGCAGTTTTCAGATGGTATAGGTTCAGCACTGCATTTTAGATTAGTGAGATATTAGATGATGACCTTGTTAGAAGCCATTTCTGTCCATCTCTAAAATCTTCTCCCCTGATACTATTCTTTGTCTTCCAGTGAATACCCCTAGGACATTGTGAGATGCATGTGTGTACCAAAAACTGAAAAAACCAAGATAACCAGGAACAGGCAGTCCTCACCAAAGTGGCATCAGAGGTCAGAGGCAGGGAAGGGTGTGCAGGATGAGCTGAGCTGCCCCCACCTGACATCCTGCCCCCATTACACAGGAGCAGAGACCTCTCTCTCATAACCAGGCTTTCTGGCTATCCTGTCATAGTATGTTTTAATCTTGAAAGCATGATTCTATATTCAAAGTATATGTTTAAAACAGACCTTACCAGTTGGATAGATAAGGGTATAGAGCTTTTCTCATTTTTATATGGATAAATTTTCTCCTAAGACTATTCAAAGGATCCCCTTTTCTTTACTGCCACAGCCTTCCTAATATTCTCAACTTATATGAATGTAATCTCCGTAGCTGTTGGTTTAAGGCCATAATTTGTAGGGTCTCTCTTACTATCTTTTAAAATAGTCCCTTTAGTTTTACGTCTACAGGCTTTAAATTTTGATTTTCAATAGCAACTTGACAAGATTAATGAGCTGAAAATATATTTAACTGATACATCTTTTTTCTACTTTCAACAGAAAATTTCAAATTCAAGTTAATAAAACCCAAGTTACACCCATAAGTAATCCAAAAGAAAGTAGACATGAGTGTCAAAATTTTTTATACAACAGCTTCCTATAATATATTGAGATGCAATTATAAGTGGCCTCAAGTACATTTTCCTGGAGAAGTTGACTCATGTTACACACAGTTGGCAATATACACTAAGGTTGTGATTTGACCAACATTCCAAAGTGTGTAAGTGTGTGTGTGTGCACAAATGCATATACAAAACTATACATACACACATACACATATACCTAATTCTGAGCATATATTTTACAATGCTTGATAATGTATTTCCTTTCAAAAAATCTATTTATAATTTTAAATGTTGCTTTACTTGTAACTACTTTGAGATCCTTCCAAAGAACATTTCTTGTTTCATCTTTGTATCCATTATGCACAGTAGGTACTTAATAATAAATGTTTGTTGAATAAGACCTTGGATAAGATATAGCAAACAACCTAATACAGAGAACGGCCCTAAAAAATATAACCTGAAACTATGGGGAATAATCACTGGCATACTTTCTAAATCCACAAAGTAAATTTACAACAATCCCAGTAAATAGTACTAGGATCAATTAAAAAAACTCTTTGGAGATTGTGAGAGTTGGTTTCTAAGTTTGTTGCAGATTTTACAGCAATTCAGTGGTTTTGTGCACTTAAAAATTATGGCATGAAAATAAAAACAAAAAAAGCAAGCCCCTAAAATAAATTTAAAATATCTTAGAACAAGAAAAGTTGGCTGTCTACCTGTTGTTTTTAAATATTAAATATATAATGTCATTTCTATTCCTACTTTAAAATTTTTGTTATAAAAGTATTGGACCTAGCCAACAGGTATCAAATAACTATTTTCTCAGAATAACATATATTGTTTAAAATTTACCTACAAAAACAATAGTCACAAGTTAACAACTTTGCAATAAAATTTACCTCGCCGGAACTGGTAGTTTGGGGCAGAGAACAGAAGATTTTGAAGATGTAGTGTATTCAGAAGGCTTTAGGTTGTAGCTACATAGTGCTGAACCTGTTCAAAGAAAAATTATATGTTAGCTGGCAGAAGAGTCAGAAAAAATTCTCTCACTATCCATTTTAATTTTGTATCATTCAACATATGCAACTTTCCAAACATTATAGAATTCATAGAAATCTGATTTGATGTATAAGTCCTCAACCATTTAAAATTGATTCTACTATTAATGTAATTCATATACAAATTTGAATTAATATTAAAGGTAATAATAAGTACTAGAACTACCTTTATTGAGTGTTAGGTTCTCTGCAAGATGACATTTATGTATTATACAATTTACTATAACTCTATAAGGCAGGTATTATTAAGCCTACTTTAGAGAGAAGGAAATAGAGGCTAAGAGATAAGGTAAATAACTTGCCTAAGAACATAGAGCTAGTAGGAGTAGAGCTGGGATTAAACACCACGTCTCTTGACTACAAAGCCTGTGCTCAATTACATATTATGCCTGTTTTTCCTATGCCTTCCATTACTAAATGTCTACAATTACTGCATTTAACTCATATAAATTTGGATAATACATTACTTATTTAAAAAGCAGGAAACATTCCTAACTGTAAATAAACGGAACAAATTGATAAAACTGATAAACTGATAAAAGTGATTCCTAGTTTTCAGAGTTTAAGACAGCTTAAATTCAACTGTAGATTGGTTATGCAAAAAAACATTAATTTTTCTGATTATATGGCCAACACATATCGAATATACATAACATGTATACAGTGTAAAATTTACATAATACATTAATGTATTATATAATTTACTATAACTCTATAAAGCTGGTATATACATTAATTTCCTTAGTATAGAAAATTGAGATGGATAAAGTCCACTAAATCCAACATAAGTCTTATTTTCCTGATCCGTTAATTTTAAAATACAGCAACTAGAATACTGGAAGGTTCATTGTATAATATATTGTTAAGTGAGGAGACCCAGGCTCCAGTTCTAATTTTGCTGCATTTCATCACATAAACGGTTTATATTTTATTAACTGCTGTTCCCACCAGATTACTAATTTGGTCAAATACTTTATTATGAAATAAACAGAATAGCTTTGCATCTGTATTATGATGATACTGAACTTTTATATTATACCACCACAGAAAAAGCTTAAAATATAATGTGAACAGCAGACTGCAACACTGAGTTAATTATGGAAAAGGCATGTGAGCATAGGAGAAGGAACTGGAAGGGAATATAGAAAAAAGGATATAGCTTGATTTAATGGGACAACAAAATTGGAAACAAGTTTATTTCATTTATATCTTGTCCTATCAATCAAAATAATTTTTAGAAAGGCACAAACCAACATTTAATTTAGCAATGCTGCCCCAAACCAGCAAAAAATCCAAGTGATTAAATATGTGAGCCTTAACAGCATACTGATATGAGTGCATGTAGCATATATTTTATATAAAGATAATCTGAGTAATCTGACAATGCAAAATATTTTTAAAGCGATAATTATGAGTTACATGGCACTGTTCTTCAAGTTTTTTAAGCTTAAAGTAGGCTCAACAAGAAACTAAGTTTTAAAAATTGCGCTTGACTATTCTTTTGCATTTTAATGATCTATTTTTTAAAAAGCTAAGGATGAATATTAAATATTTAACTCTTCTAAGAGCATTGTCTTTCACACTTGAATATAATGCCACTAGATTACATTTATAGTAATTTTGCAGAAAACATTAACAATGGCAAGGAAACATTTTAGATTAATCCTGAAATAGCTAGGAGTCCTAGTATAGAATTGCTTAGGAAAAACAGCAACTGTGCCAATAAGTGTGGAGCACCCGATGTGATCATCAACTTCCTGATCTGAATTGTCAACTTATTTCTTTCAGAGTCCAAGATGGAATCGATTTGCACAAAATAAAAGACCCTAACTAAAGCACTTTGTGTCAGTGCTGCCAAATACACTGCTTCATCTGAATTCAGTTAGCATAATCTCTATCCCCACCCTTTCTTCATTTAAAAAAGGAGGTCAGCAGGTGCAATGGAGTTCAATTTTATAAATACTTTCCCAGGATAATACTCAATGAAAGGATAATAGCCTTATCTCTGATGGTATTCTGGGACACAGGCCAGTACTAAATAGATCCTGTACTAAATAGATTAAAGGAAAAAGATCTTTACAATGTGTTAGTAGTAATAATCATAAGAAACCTTATACTGCTTCCTGCTCAAAGGGTTGATGAACAGAGAAGCCTCAATGAAGAACATTAAAACAATTCAGTAATGGCAAACATTTTACAACTGTTTTTCTTTTCATGTTCATTAGCTAAGCATTTTCAGTGAACATTCTGAAGGTAGTATTTTTTTTTTTTTTTTTTTAACAGTGAACGTATAAAAAATACTTAGCACAAGAAGTTTGGATCTAACCAGTAGGACAAAGTTTTCCTTCTAATGTAAAAGCAGGTAAAAATTATACGAGTAATGAAAAGTAGAAAACTAAGAACAAAAGCTTATCTAAAGCATACCAGAGGTAATCCATGCAACTCAGCCGATGTTATTCAAAGACTATCAAAATGAGTGATCTTAGGAACCTAACTTTAGTGTATAAACATTTATCATGGCAAATGGTAACTATGGCCCCCAGAATGTTTAACTACTATAATTTTTCAAATGCTGTATAATAGTCAATTATTTAGTCTGAATTTATTATTCTTTAGCTCAATATCAGTTATATCAACTCCCCTAAGAGGTACGTTTCCATCAGAACACTCCAAATATTACAGATGAAAAAAAAAGTAGTACTTCCAAGGCCTTCAATGCAATCACTGGCATATTTACAAGTGGAATTCTTTGCCCCTAAGCTGCCATGCTTCCTTTGTGCCATTTCTAATACTCAAAATTGGGTAAGTATTCAATAAACTCCTGGGCCAAAAAACATACGTTCTACAGACACCTCAAAAAAAACATCTTTGGAGAAAAATTAGTTCCACCATGTACCTTCTGACTTTATATTTTCTGTCCTAGTTAATGGTTCCACCATCCGTGAAACATACAAGTTATCCGACATCTTTTTTATCTACTGTTTTCCTATACCATTCAAGAGATACCACATCCTGAGCATTGGACCTTCCTATGTTATCTCAGACCTTCATGATCTCCTACTGTGTCAGTTAAAATACTGTAAAGTGTTTCTCATCTCCATTCTGTGTATAACCATCAGAATGATCTTTGTACAATGCAGATTAGTCATATCACACCCCTATCCTCAGGATGAAGTCCAAATATTCTGGATTCAAGTTCCTCCTAAAGCAGGTCTCTACCTAAAACTCCAGACTCATCTCAACATAATAAACTACATACAATCAATGATTGCTGTTTAACAAGCTTCCAGGTTTTCAGACACACCACTCCCTCTGCTTGCGCTGTCCTTTCCCAGCTAGCACCTGAGTGTTAACGTCTGAGCAGAATTTCTACACACTACTCAAACTTCATCTCTTCTGTCAAGCCTTCTCTGACCCACCCAACAAAGCTATTTACTGCTTAGCTCTATGATAAAACAGGGCATATTCTTTTGTAATTTTTTGTTTGTATATCATCTCTATTTTTACAATGCAAACTCTGAGAACTCAAACCTTATGCCTTTGAAAAGTTTGGAACCTATATTTCCTGGTCTATAGATGTCATCCAAAAGCCTTCTGTTCAATAAAACAGGTATCCTGAGTGGAGAAAAAAATGAAATAACTGTTTTTAATCTCTTATGTTTTGGTGTTATATGTTATATACAATGTTCGGATGCGTTTCACCATTTGCTACAAATATACGATCTAAAACAACATTCCTCAATCTTAGTATGATGACATTTTGTGCTGGATGATTCTTGGTTGTAGGGGGCTGTCCTGTGCATTGCAAGATGTTTAGCAACATCGCTGGTCTCTATCCACAAGATTCCAGTAGCCTCCTCCTAAGCTCTCACCCAGTGTGACAGCCAAAAATGTCTCCAGATGTTGCCAATTTTCTTTGAGGAGGCAAAAGCCTCCTCAACGTTGTGAACCAATAGTTTAAAACATCACATTATTTGAAAACAAGATACAAAACAAAGAGTTTCTATGCTGGGGGCTAATTTTTCTTGCTTTAAAATTTTGTTTAATTTACCACCACAGTGATATTTATAGGATAGATTAAAATTAAGGAAAAATATTCCTTAAAACATGATTTAAATATTTGCAACTAATAGAAAAGAAAGTCTCTCAATGCAGAACAGTTTTTACTATGAAAGATTTCCATTGCCTTGTGATGTCTAATGAATTTAACCTCCTTTTCACTAATTAAGAAACACTATTTATATGCTGGGAGAATGGAAGATAATTTTCCAATTTTAATTCCTAGTAACCCATGAAAAGTATGGACATATTTGTAATTCCCAAGAAGCATCCACCTACAGAAATTAGCCAGGTAAGAATGTGGCATCATCTGTCAACCACTGTTGGCACATACTAGGCATACATAATAAATATTTGCTAAGTGAATTAATTTTGAACATCTATGTACGAGACTTCTATTAGGTGTTGTGGAGGATAAGGAGAATTCTGACTCAACTATACTGCAAACTCCTTAAATGTGGGGACTGTACTTTGTATCTCTGATGCATGCTTAATGGGTACTAAGTATTTGTTGAATGAAAGAATTAGTTTAAACTGCAGTATCAAATGTAAGGATTTTCCTTCTTTTTAAACAACCAAGCATCCTTGCTGATCTCTGACTTGGAGGCAATTAATTCAGTTGCTAGAGTTGATCATTTCATTCATTTATAAATGATATCAAGTCAAATCTTTTGACTTACTGTGCCAAAAAGAAAACATAATTACTCTGGGGTTTAAGTTTTATTGATACTGACTGGCAAGAAAAAGGGTAATATACTGATCATCTATTGATACTGACTCTAAACTAATAACCAGATAACAATAATCAAAAAGACTTATTAGTATTCACAATTAGCATTATCTGAATGGACCACATAATCTGTTAAAGTTTTTAAT